ATCCTTTGACTTTTGATCTTTTTTTGTTTGTTTTGTTTGTTTGCTTTTTAATGTTTGTTTATTTTTGAGAGAGTGCAGGTGGGGGAGGGGCAGAATGAGGGGGACAGATGATCGGAAGTGGGCTCTGCGCTCATAGCAGCGAGCCCGATATGGGGCTTGAACTCACAAACTGTGAGATCATGACCCGAGCCGAAGTTGGATGCTCAACTGACTGAGCATCTGGCTTTTGATCTTTAAAAAAATGTTTTGTAAGGCAGAAACTTAATTGCAGAGAGCCACAATGGATGCTACCTGAACAACTCGTCATCTGGAGGAAACTATTGACAGTTTTGAAAAGCAGAAAATAAAGGACATAAAGACTATATTTTTAGAATTTATCACTATTGAAATGTTACTTCATGGCAAAGTTTTAAAGGTCTGCACTGCTATCTACCAATTTATACAAAACATTGATGAAGATTTAGAGGTTTTTCGAAATTGTCCATATCAACCAGATTATTCATCCTGTTTAGATATTGTCAGAGCAGATCCAAAGTCAACTCTTCAAAGATCACTGTCAGCTAAGTGTGTATCTGCAATAGGACAGATAACTAATAAAGGATCAACAAGCAAAAGATGATGATGAAGAGGATGATGAGGACTTAGATGTTACAGAAGAAAATTAGTTTTCTTAAGTAATTTCACATTTCATTTTTCTTTTTTTTTTTTTTAATGTTTATTTTTGAGAGAGAGAGCAGGGAAGGGACAGAGACAGAATCCCAAGCAGGCTCTGTGCTATCAGCCTGACACAACGCAGAGTCTGACACAGGGCTTGAACTCACCAACTGTGAGATCATGACCTGAGCCAAACAAAGTCAGGCGTTTAACCAACTGAACCACCCAGGCACCTCTCACATTTCATTTTTCATCTTAAATGACTTGGAATCCAGAATTACTACTTTGTAAAACTTTATACTGGCTTCATAGACATTAAACCTCAAAATGAAGTCCTACTGGAAATGAAAATTAAAGGAAATTTATGCTGACCAAAAATGAAGATTTTAAAAAATAATGCACACCAATCATTTCAATATCCTATCTAGCAGTATGTGATTTTTGAGTAGGTTCCATTTAAAAAAAAAAAAGATGATATATTTCAAAAGTATTTTATATTAATGCACTATACCTAGTTGAGATTGCAATATAAATACTGTAGATGAAAAAACCAAGAGATCTAACATTTCCACTTGCTTCTTTTGCTGTCATCACCAAAAAAGGGTCTTTAGTCATTCTGATTAAATACAAATTCTGTTCCATAAAGTCTTATCAAAAAGATAGGTTTTTTTTTCTGTACTGTTTTTCCCTTTTACTACAAACTGAAGTTTCCTTATTTGATGCATAATTTACTTTTCAACAAGAATGTAATTACTTTTGATTAAAGGTAATGGGACACTAGGATATCAGTGTCTTAAAACTACATAAAGCATAAATTTTAGCTTCACATAAATGTGAAAACCGTATTCAGCCTGATTCTGGTTTTAAAATGAAGATGCTATTACACTAAAGCATTATTACACTAAAACATATAAAGCAGTACTACAGTTTCTGGAAATCTGTAATTTGGTGGAATGTGGCCTAAGAAAACATCATGGAAAACCATAAATCATTACAAGTCTGTAAAAATTTTACTAAACCGCCATCTAATTAATGAAAGAGTATATACTTTTATTCTTGAAAATAATACAGCCTTTCAGTAAGTACAATACTTGTGTTTCTTTGGATGAGAATTGTACTTTTGTTATTTCATGGATACCAGTCAGGCATATAAAAATTACGAAATTCATAAAATCATTTGGGATAACCACAAAAAGCAGTCTAAGTTCTCAGTTTCGCTGAGAGCATGTTCTGAATTGATATTGTTTAGTTTTAGGTTTTTGGTGTCCGAAAATCTCCTGTTCTCCCTTATGATCACATTGTAGATTTTAGCTAGTGCCTTACCTACCTTGCTTATATGTAACAACCATAAATCACACTTTCCTGTTTCCTCTACCGTAGGTGATCTCTCTTAGTTCATGACCACTGTGGTGTGTTTGGAATTGACTTCCCTCACTCTTGTTATAGTGACAAGTGTGATGATTTCTGTTCTTGGCTTTTGGTTTTATTTATTTGATATTAAGAATGATTTTTCCCCCTCATACAATGCTGTAGCACTTGAGATTATCCAACCACTCATAAATATGTTTAAGACACATAAGAATATTAAAGGGGAAATATATTTATATAACTCATTTATTTGCAAGGCCTTTTGACCACTTTTTTTCCTATTGAGGTATAATTAATGTATAACATATTAGTTTCAGGTGTACAACATAGTGATTCAGTATTTGTATGTATTATGAAATGGTCAACACAAAAAGTCTCCTTAACCATACATAGTTACAAATCCATTACCATGAATAGTTAGAATTTTTTTTTCTGTGATGAGAACTTTTAAGATTTACTCTTGTATGTCAATTATGCCTCATTTAGAAGAAGAAAATAGAAAACATTTAAAATTTATTCTTTCCCAAAATAAGTTACTCCAAATTTATCAAAATTCCCAACCCCACTTTTAAAAATCTGATGGCATAACAGGAAGATGTGATTTCAGTTTATGCAAACAGGTATTTTGATCCAACCTTCTTTGGATACAACCCCAAAATCTACAAAATAATGTAAGGGAGAATCCTGTTTCTCATCAGTAAATAAACAAAACAACTTGCAAATACACAACACACTATTATGAAACATGATGTTGTACATGGACAGTTGGTATTCTTTACCAAATAAGAGTATAGATATTAAAAATCCATGTAATTGGAATAATTTACAATTATATTAGTATGCCTTGCTTTCTCAGCTTTTGTTTCACATGCATTTATAGAGGGCCAGAATCAATAAAGTATATGTACTGCGAATTGCTTACTTTATGAGTAACAAACCTAATAATATGTATGATAATTGGAAATTATGTGTGTGCATTTTTAGCATGGTTGCAAAACAAGAAGTCAATTACCAAGGCAATTTATAAGAATACAAAATGTTCACTAGCATAATAGTTTTTTGTTGTTGCTTTTGTTATTTTCAGAATATTAAAGGTTAACAATACTTCAGTTAAAAATAATTCACCACAGTTTATTTTATTTTGAAGACCAATTGCTATCTGTCTTTGTTTTCTAAAGGTGTTCTTAAGGACTATCTAAGAGAACTTCCTTCTCCTCTGATAACAAAGCAACTTTATGAGGCTGTAATAGATGCAATGGCAAAAAATCCTTTGAAAATGTCATCAAGTGGATGTGAGAATGACCCAAGTGACTCTAAGTATACTGTTGACCTGCTTGATTGTCTGCCTGATGTTGAGAGGGTGAGCATCAGTGGTATACCTTTTTCCCTGAAAGCCAGCTAATGAATATATACTTAGCTCCAGAGCTACAAATAGTTTTTCAGGTATTTCACATTTGTGGCACTTAGGAGTTTAAGCTCTGCCTTTACTAAAGGCTCCTTAAACAGCATAAATATAGATGACAATTTTATCTTTTCTGTAAATAATTTTAGTCTAGGCACAGGTACTTCCTATATGTTTCTAAAGAGTATGGTTACCTTATTATTAAAATAATATATGCTTATTATAGAAAAATTGAGAAGATATAGTAAAGAAAATGGACAATTGCAATTATCAATAACCAAAGGCAACAATAATTAACGTGTTAGTTAATTAACTATATGTAGTTAATGTATTTCCTTTTAGTATTTGAAAAATATGGTAACTGTTTCAGTGTACGTGGCTTAGCCTTAAGACTTAAGTAACCCTCACCACCACCATCACTTTCCTTCTTGTGTCTTCCCATTTACCTCCTCACAATCTAAATCTTGGGACCAGTATCTTCAGGACCAGAGGAGATAAAAGGGTAGCTGGGTCTGCAGAACCAGTCTCAACCTAACTTTAGCTGTTGTTCCTTAGAACAAAAGAGAAAATAAGAGAGAGATGGCTGAGCTTGTCCAGATGAGGTCAGCTTTGCCTATATTTCTTACTATGTGAGGGTAGAAAGGGCAAGAGTGAATGTGTGAAAATATTAAGCCCCAAAACTTCATTCACCTTTACTGTCCCCTTCCCTGTGCTCGGTCCAGTTAGATTAGTAAGTGTACTCCTGTGGGTGAGAAGAAGGGAACAACTACAAAGAAGTAAGCAGAATTAGAAGGGTGGAGTGAAGGGGTAGACATATTCCTTCTTCGTTGCCAGGTAAAATTGTATCATTTGACTTACGCATGAGGAAATGAGTGGAAATTTAAATCACCTGCTCCAGTTATATAGCTTTTATGAGTGCTGTAGTCTGTTACCTGAATTTATAGGTCTTTCTGGTCCTAAAGCTCTTGCTATTATCATCCTTTCTAAAAAGGCTTCATAATATTCCATTGAGTGGATTTGACATAATTAATCACTATTCTCTTTTGTATAATATTTAGGTTTTGAGCCTATTTGTATATATTTTTATGCAGAGATTTCTTTTCAGTTAGAATTACTTATTTGGAATAGAAATAATGGAATTGTTGATTTAAATGATGTGAACATTCAAAGGCTCTTTTTTTTTAAATTTTATTTATTTTTGAGACAGAGACAGAGTGTGAACAGGGGAGGGTCAGAGAGAGAGGGAGACACAGAATCTGAAACAGGCCCCGGGCTCCAAGCTGTCAGCACAGAGCCCGACACGGGGCTCAAACTCATGGATCGCAAGATCATGACCTGAGCCGAAGTCGGACATTCAACCGACTGAGCCACCCAGGCGCCCCTCAAAGGCTCTTAATATGTTTTCATATTACTTTTCAAAAGGGACACAACAGTTGCATTTTTTGGCTCATCTTTATTTAGTAGACAAAAAAATATTTTACTTTAAATTGTATTTCTTGGTTTGCTATTGAGATTAAATCTAAGATATTTAGCCGTGTGTGTGTGTGTGTGTGTGTGTGTGTGTGTGTGTGTTGGTCACAGCATGGTATGCTGAAAGCAGCCTTAAGATGTCAACATATGTAGAATCCCACTTGTGTTAGCAAATGTATAGTGAGTGGAGATGAAGAATGGATATTTATTATTGACATTGCTTTTATGATTCATATGTTTGATTTGTTTTGATTTCAAAATATCAATTACAGTCTCCTCTAACTTTTCTTCTTTCTTTATTCCTTTCTTTCTCAGCCGAACATTAGAAGAATATTTATTTCGGCTGTCCTTATTTCTTCACCACTCTTGACTACTCAACACATTGTAATCTGGCTCCCTACCCTATCTTTCTGGACTTGTTTTTGCCAAGGTTACTAATGACCTTCTGATCACTGAATCCATTTTTTACTTTTGGCTCTAGAAATAAGTCATTTTGATTTTTTTTTTAATAATTTTTAAAATTACAGTTTTACTTGGCATTCATTTCTTTAATACAATTATGAAGAAGAAATTATACACTCATTTTATTTGTTAAATGATTGATCACATGCCAGTACTTCAAAAACATCATTTCTTTCCATAATTGCTTAGACCTAAATAACCTTCCACCCCTTACTAGTTTCTTCAAGTTTTGAAAAATATTCTTTTTGGGGGCACCTGGCTGGCTCAGTTGGATCCTTGATCCTCAGAATCGTGAGTTCAAGCCCTATGTTGGGTGTGGAGATTACTTAAATAAATAAAAATACTTTAAAAAAAAGTATTCTTTTTCAACAACAAAAAAAATTTTTTTCATCTCTAGCTAGTCTATTCTTTTTTCCATGGTTTGTCTACTTGAAGTATTTGTTAGTTAAGCACATTGGCCTTTTTCCTATTCTGGATCATGATAGACCCTGGCCACGTTTGAAATTGTTAGCTTCCTAAGTTTAAGGCTGGCAGTCCCCTGATTATGACTAGAGGATTTATCTGTTCTTAAAGATAAACACTCTTACCTAATCCCTTTTCCATCATAGCCTTTGCTATTGTCAGTTTAGAGGAGGGAAGAGAAGAAAACGTTGATGTATATTTTCCTAGGGACGCCAGTTGAAATTTGGAATGCATTCATGAGCCTTTATAAAGACTATACATTTTAACCATCTAATCAATCAAATTATGTCATTGGAACCTAAGGGTCCAAGCTTTGAAACAATCTTTTGAAAAGTAACAGAATGTCTGTTTATATTTTCTGCTGTAAATTGTGTCCTTAAATTTGCTCCTGTGTATGACTTTACTAAGTGAAATGTAATTTAACTTAATTCAGGCAACCCTAAAGATGTTGCTGGATCATTTGAAATTGGTGGCTTCTTATCATGAAGTGAATAAGATGACGTGCCAGAACCTGGCTGTGTGCTTCGGACCGGTGTTATTAAGTCAGAAGCAAGACACTAACCATAACAACAGAGTCTTTACTGATTCAGAAGAACTTGCAAGTGCTTTGGATTTCAAAAAACATATTGAAGTTCTTCATTATTTACTTCAACTCTGGCCAGGTAAATGATTCTCTGGAAATACTTTTCTCTTTCAAGGGCAGAGTGTTTGAATTAGCTAATCACTAAATATGCCCATATATGATTGCAGAAAATATTTCCTAGATTTTGCTTTTTCTATTTAAATATTTTGCTTTTGCTGATAATATAATAGACCTATAGATCACTGTGCACATTTTGGATTTAGTCAGATCAGGATTTGTATCCTGGTTGTGTTACTTATTAGCAGTCTGGTCTTGGGCAGGTTCTTTAACATCTTAGAGCCTCAGTATCGTCTTTTGTCATATGGACTTTAATAATATTTAGGGAATTTATAGGAGGCTTAAATAAGGAGTTACGTATGTTAAGCTGCTCAGTGCAGTTCTTGTCACATAATAGGTACTCTGTAAATATTTTTTTTTTTTTAATTTTTTTTTTTTCAATGTTTATTTATTTTTGGGACAGAGAGAGACAGAGCATGAACGGGGGAGGGGCAGAGAGAGAGGGAGACACAGAATCGGAAACAGGCTCCAGGCTCTGAGCCATCAGCCCAGAGCCTGACGCGGGGCTTGAACTCACGGACTGCGAGATCGTGACCTGGCTGAAGTCGGACGCTTAACCGACTGCGCCACCCAGGCGCCCCGGTACTCTGTAAATATTAACTTCTTTAGTCCTTCAATCAGTTCTTCTTCCTGACATTTTTACTGTATTCATGGTCATTCTTCAAATTATCCAGGCTTGACTTGACAGTTATCTTTGATCTTTCCATCTTTCTTATCCATCCCTTGTTCCAGTCAAGAACAAAAAGCTGACAGTTATTTTCCTTCTATATCTCTTATATAGTTTCAGAGCTAAAAGGAATACATGTTTAATTAGATGTTCTAATGCTGTATTTAGGTTCCAAATTTTTCTTATCCTATAGTAATGCCTGCTTCCCTTCCCTACCCTGCATAGTACCAAACATGAAAGTACTTAGGAGCTCTATGTAGCATACAGTGGTAAAAGTGGTTGGCTCCTGGAGTCAGGCTTGGATTCAGATCCATTGTGGCCCAGGCACATACTTTAATTCCCCTCAGTATGCTTCCTATAAATAGCGCCTACCTCAGGGTTGTTGTGAAGATTCTGCAGATAAAGCATCAAAGATAGTGACCAAAGTGTTTTGCATAAAGTTAGCTCTTTGTTACTCTTTTAATGATATATGTAAGGATAGACCAAAGTGCAACAAAATGCTTGATTTAGTCTTAAAATACATCTAACTAATTTTAAAAAGTGAATAAAAAACTTCAACTTTTAAATTTGGAAAGTTAAAATTTTTGCTTTCTTTCAAACACAAGCTTAAAAGTCATTTCTAATGTGTCTTTTAACATTGGTATATATAATTAATTGGTATATATAATTAATTATTTAAAATTGGTATATATAATTGGTATATATAATTAATTGGTATATTAATTAATATACCAATTGGTATATATAATTGGTATATATAATTGGTATATATAATTAATTATTTAAATTGGTATATATAATTGGTATATATAATTGGTATATATAATTAATTATTTAAAAATCCTGAATCAAGATTCTTTGGCTAATTGGTTTGATTTCTGCATTTGGTGCCCAACATAAGGGATCTCTGAGGTTAAAGTTTCAAATGTGTTTTCTATAGTTTTTCCTACAACTGCTTTAATTGTAATAAACATCAGGAATTGGGAAAGGAGCCATCTTTGTTCTAATCACAAATTAAAACTTGCTTACCTGGAGAGATAAACACAGTTTACTATCAGTACCTGATTTCTTTATCATTGATTCTGTATCAGAGGTTAATGTTATTTAAAAATAACTCCTCTAAGGACCTGAATACACATTTTTCCAAAGAAGACAAATGGATGGCCAACAGACACATGAAAAGATGCTGAACATCACTTGTCATTAGGGACATGCAAATCAAAACCACAATTAGATATCATCTCACACCTGTCAGAATGGCTAGCATCAAAAAGACAAGAAATAACAAGTGTTGGTGAGGATGTGGAAATAAGGGAACCCTGTGCAGTGTTGGTGGGAATATAAATTGGTGTAGCTGCTATGGAAAACAGTATGGAGGATCCTCAAAAAATTAAAAATAGAAATACCATACAATACAGTAATTCCACTATGGGGTATTTACCCAAAGAGAATGAAAACACTAATTTGAAAAGTTTATTGCAGCTTTACAATAGCCAAGATATGGAAGCAGCGTAAAGTGCCCATCAGTAGATGAATGGATAAAGAAGATGTGGTGTATATACTAATTATGGAATATTACTCCGCTATTTAAAAAAAAAAAGCGATCTTGCCATTCACGACAATATGAATGGACCAAGAGGGTATCATGTTAAGTGAAAGAAGTCAGACAAAGGCAAATACCATATAATTTCACATATATATGGAATCTAAAACCAAAACAAATGAACAAACAAACGAAAAAACTGGAAACAGACTCATAAATACAGAGAACAAACTGGGGGTTGCCAGGGAGGAGATGGCATGGGGGAAGGAGTGATATAGGTAAAGGGGACTAAGAAATACAGACTTCCAGTCTACGGCCATACCACCCTGAACGCGCCCGATCTCGTCTGATCTTGGAAGCTAAGCAGGGTAGGGCCTGGTTAGTACTTGGATGGGAGAAATACAGACTTCCGGTTATAAAATAAATAAAGTCACGGGGATGAAAAGTATGGTATGGGGAGTATAGTCAACAATATTGTGATAATGTTGGTGACAGATGATAACTACACTTACTGTGGTGAGCACTGTGTAATGTATAGAGTTGATTCACCTGAAAGTGATAATAGCATTACATGTCACCTATACTTCAATTAAAAAAAACATCTGCCTCCTTTTCTATAACCTGTACTTTTCTTTAGTTATAGTACCTCAGACAAAGGGCGGAAAGATGAGAGTAAATACCAGTTAGTTTTGCCCTCTAAATCATTTGTTTTTGGATTCAAGAGAAGGCAGACATCAAATAAAAGTAGTGCAGTGACTGTGCGTGAGAAAGTTGATAGTGATACAGAGAATGAGCCATAGTGCATTAACTTGGTAAATGCCCATCTCTATGTGTTAGATAGAAGGTTTGACTCCTTGCTATGCATATCTTACATATTTTTGTTTTTGGAATTTCCCCTACTCTGGAGGTAAAAAAAAAAGAGTTGGTTCCACATTTCTCCCATCCACCTTCGTTTTTACTTTAACTTTTGTGTTATTTTTTGTTTTTTCATTTGGGGCAATAGTGAAATTTGCTTTGAGCTTTCCATTTGAAAAATCTTATCTTCAAAGTGATCAGTTAAAATCCTAGCATATTGGCACCGAGAGGTAAAAATCATCCTGCCAGTGGTATTTCAGATTGTCTTCTGCCAAGCCCTAAGGTTCTTTGGAAGCAGCTTTGGAGCCAGATTGGCAACAGGTGAGGGAACAAAATGGAAACACACTTCCCTTTTGATCAAAACAGTTTTTGTTTCATCTTTTATATGTATTGGATTTTTATAAATTGTTGCTTTTTAAAAATGGTCTTGCTGTTGTAAGAAGAATATTGAAATTTACTGATAGGCCACTCTTTCTCTTTATAGAAGGGGAAATAGCTTTAGAGAGAGTGTAACTCCTAGACTAGCTGTTTGCTGTATCACATTTTCTATGATGAGTAAATTTTGGGCAGGTTTTTTTGGGAAAAAGCTATCAATTTTTTCCTATTCCTTTTTGTTTCACTTTTCTCACTAGACTAACCTTTATGAGGTCAGGGACTATATTTTGCTTACCCTTATACACCTAAGTCCTAAAACAGTGCTTGGCACTAATGAGGCACTCAATATATTCTATTAAATAAGGCAATTATACTCTAGACAAAAGGCTAATAATATTAGGTGATGGTTGAAAATATAAATCCACCAGTAGAAAACAAGATAAGAAAATTAAGATTCTTAGTACATACCATCACATTTTTAAACATTTTCAGCAACTTTATAGATCGCATTTTTAATTTTATTCTGTTGAAGACGGACAGTCATAGTACTAGAAAAACCAGAACTTTTGGGGTCAAAATTAGCCAGTTTCTCTGCATTTTTAATAGGAAAGCATTCCACCATCAGTAGTTTAAAAAGTCAGTGAGGTTGATTTTTCAGAAATTGAATTCTTAGTCCAAAAGATATAAAATATTACCATAATTGGTTTCTTAAATCCTTTCCAAGAAAATACACAACAATAATGTTTGAATAGGGATTTGGTTTAAGCAACTGGCAACAAAACAAATCTGGGTTTTGAAGGTGAATGTCAGAAGATGAGAGCACGACAAGACAGGCTCAATCCAAAGTCAAAAATGCGTTACTTTGGGGCACCTGGCTGGCTCAGTCGATAGAGCATGCAACTCTTGATCTTGGGGTCATGAGTTCAGGCCCCATGTTGCCAAGGCATAGAGCTTACTTAAAAAAGAAAAAAAAAAAGTTTTACTTTGGTTGGATCACAAACCAGATTACTTCAAGGTTAGCAAAGTACTGTAATGAAAACAACAGGCATGCCACTTAAGCACTAAGAACAGGAATAGCAAGAAAATGAGGGAGAAAAGCCAGGAGACTTAGTAGAGATTAGCAGCTAGAGGAGAAAAAGGAATATGAATAATTAAGCAGTGGAAAAAATCAGCTATTTATTCTGCAGTTGCTTCAGTTAATGGCATGGGGCATTCTATATTAATACTGTTATTAAAGATCAATTTAAAGTAAATATCAGGGGCACCTGGATGGCTCAGCTGGCTAAGTGTTGACTCAGGTCATGATCTCTCAGGCGTGGGATTGAGCTCTGCTTGGGCTCTGTGCTGCCAGCACAGAGCCTGCTTGGGATCTCTCTCTCCCTCTCTCTCTGCTCCTCCCCCACTCATGGGCACACTCGCATGCACTCTCTCTCAAAAATAAAACATCAAAAAAAATAAATATCAGGCCTTTGTTTTCCAGAAAATTTTAGCTCAAGAGATTTTAGCTATTCATAATTATATATAATAGCCATCATAAAAATATAGACAAATGGAAATGTTAGAAACATACCTATAGATAGTTATCAAGTATTTTAATAAAATCTAAGTACAAAAAATTATGTAATCTCTGAAAAATGTATTTTAAGTTTATTTTTGAGAGATAGAGACACAGTGTGAGCAGGGGAGGGGCAGAGAGTGAGGGAGATACAGAATCAGAAGCTGGCTTCAGGCTTGAAGCTATCAGCACAGAGCCCGATGTGGCTCAAACTCATTAACTGTGAGATCATGACCTGAGCTGAAGTCAGAGGCTCAACCGGCTGAACCACCCAGGTGCCCCTGAAAAATGCTGTTAAGATCACTGTAAGTCTGCAAAACTAGCACTATATACAAGTTTGTATTACTTTGCAATTATCTTGTTTTGTACAGTAAGGAACAAGCATTCGTTATATGTTGGAGAGTGTAAAGTGGGTGTGTTATTACTGATAATATATTCATACTGATAATAAGTATCTCAGTGAAAGAAAGTGTACATGAAGAGGCATTTATTAGCGGAGAATAAGCAAAAAGAGGAAAGTATTAAGGGTAGTTTTCAAAAGCTATGCCTCAACATTCAAGTCCATCTTATATACAGAAGAACCGTAGGCAAATGTTTTGTTCAATATGCACTAAAGAGTAAGCAGTGAAGCCTTGGTGTGTCATGAAGTTATGTGTATATCTGTGGTAATCTATATGGCCAGCACAATGCATACTCTTAGAAGAAATTAATATGAGGAATGTTATTTGAGATTGTTAGATATCTAACTAGAATGGGAAAATAAAATATCTGTACTATTTTCAGGCAATAAATGAAGACTATTAGTAGCTAATGCTGTATAATCAAACTCAGGTAACCAGTGGTCAAATTTAGTATTTGTGCATTTTATCAAAGTGAAATTTGGGCTGCTTAGTAAAATAAATTATGACACAGCTGCTAATAGAATTGCAAAAAAGCACAAAGGTTAGAGTGAGCACTTTAGATGTCTTTGCCTCATTTAGATGTTTGCAGAAGAAGGAACTTTTTGTTTTGTTTTTTTGTTTGTACACCAACGTGCCTTGCCTGCTTTTTGCTCTAGCTTTTAATATACAAGAAGCTACCAGCTTAGCTACTGTTTGAATTACAGCTAGATAATAATTAACTTGCACAGAAAGTTAATCAGCGTTGGAAATTTTATTTGTTTGGGGATGTTATGATATGGCATGAATTAGCACCATTGACCACTCTACTAGCTTCTGCCCCTAATCTTGATTATGTCTGGTTAGAAAAAAGTAATTATGGAATGCTTTTTTTAAAATAGTGTGCATGTTTTGTTTTTAATGCATGTTTGTAGTTGATTATTAAATGGCTTATCTTTAGCTCTGTTTTTTAAAGGCCAGTTGGATGGCTGTGACTAAGCAAATTTATTGTTTGTTTCCAGCGCAATGTTTAACTGTCAAAGAATCAACAGATAATTTGTTCCCAGAGCAGAAGTCTTCTCTAAGTTATTTGAGGAGGAAGAAAGAACGACCTTGCATGTTAAATTTGAGTGGTACTGATTCATCAAGAATACTTAGACCGAGGCAAACCAGATTAGACAGTCCAGTTAGCAATCGGTATGCAGGCGACTGGAGCAGCTGTGGAGAAAACTACTTTTTAAATACAAAAGAAAATTTAAATGACGTAGATTATGATGATGTCCCTTCAGAAGACAGAGAAAACGGAGAAAATTGTAGCAAAATGTATGGACCAGATATAATGATTGAACAGCCAGTACCCTTGTCCGAAGAGTACACATTTCAGACGTATTTGACAATGCAGACAATTGAGTCTACAGTGGACCAAAAAGTCAATCTCAAAGATCTACAGGAAAGTATTGATACTTTGATTGGAAATCTGGAGCGTGAACTCAACAAAAACAAGCTTAATATGAGTGTTTGAGATTGAGAGGTTTTATTTGCTTTTTTGTAATGTTTTAAATTTTAAATCAATCTTTCTCATTTTCTTATACCGCTCACAATGGTTTTATTTTTTTACTTTTAAAAATTCCATTAATTTCTAATAAGTTCATGTGATTCCATTAAAAACGCTATCATTAATACAGTTTTTACTTATCTCAATAGAAAATTTTTCTTGGGGCAAAGATAACTTGGACTTGTGAATATTTTAACAAATATGGCCAATTCTGTGGAGATGACTTTTAAATGCACTTACAAGGTTCAGATAAGTTATTGACCCCTCATGGTTTTTGTACTTTATAGGAACTGCTCTTTTGTAGCTGAAACAGGTGTTTCTTTCAGAGGAACGTGGTAGCTGCTCCGTCTGGTTTGCGGTGTGAGCCCATGTACACTGCAGCATCCTTTGATCATATTTCATTTGCAATGCAAATGCTGCTCTAAAAAACTTTTTATAAATAAAAGTAAAATTATACAAATATTAATGTATTCTTATTAGTGTTCAGTAATTATTTAAGCTTATGAAAACTAAATATTTTTATAAACCTGAAACGTGTATATTTATAAGTGCATATATGGATAGATGTTAGAATGAGAGGAGGCATGGGCTACAGAATCACATGTATCTTTAAAGTATATATGTCATGAGGCCAAAATTATTAGCTTCAAATGTCTTTTTCAGGGAAAGAATATTTAAGTTAAAGGAGGAGTTCTGTAGAAACACTTGAACCAAAACACTAGAGGCATCTGAATAGAAATAATAGACTTTCTTTTTTTATTCACAGAAAGTCACAGTATCCCTAGTGAGAAGTCATCTTTTAAATTGAAATTCTCTAACTTCTTAAGGGATTAAATGCCCAGATTTCTGCACTAGTGATTTACACTTCAAAAATCTTTACCTATTCTATGCATTTTTATGTTCTGCTTTTTTAAAACAGAGTAATTGTGCTTTAAATGTATTATTTATTTGTAGTAGTACATTGATAACATTGACTTTATAATTGCCCTCATATGTATCTAAAGAAATCTTGCCGGCATAGTCCATGTTATTGATTTTTTAAAATAACTTATTTTGGCTAAGTGTATCTACCAGATAGGCATTATAGCAGTCACAGCAGTGTTTGAAAAATGTAAATTTAGAAGACTTTTTATTAAATTGGAATGTATTTTTTTAAACTTTTATACCCACAGAACATGTAATTTTAAAATTATAAATAAAATTTGAATTACCAACTTAAAGATGTAGCAGCCAGTAGAAAACACTTCTTGATGTTTTTCTAAATATTAAAGTATTTAACTATTTCTATGTTAAATATACACTGATAAACAGAACACCTTGTTATTTAATTTGAAAACTCAATTGTTAAAAAGCCAGATAAATAATTATTTTTATATGAAAATTTCATTTTTTAAAGCTTTGTATAACAATTCAGAAGAATACCAAAAGAATTTGTGACAGGTATATATCTAAACAGTCAAAAGAAATGTACTTTAAATGTTTTATAGGAAGACTTTGTTTGCTATATCATGTATACTGTATGAATTGAATAAGTTGTTCCAGAAATGTAAAAGTTTTATTAAAGAATTATAACCTTGGTGTCATGCTATTAATTATCATCATGATTTTAAGGATCACTTATTTTAATGTCATTGTTTTTAAACATGTTAAAGTATTGGACAATCAAATGTTATCCATAAATCCATGTAACAAATTCTTTTTGTGCAGAATTGAATTTTCCAGAATCTGAAATACCTTAAAGGCCAGATTTATTTTGTTATATAAATTTGGATTGGAATAGTTTCATCTCTGCTGTCTTAAATAGAAAATACTAAGCATTTATTTTGTCTGGATCACCGAGTCCTAACTGTAAATCTCTTTTGTTGACTTTGCTGTGTTTAGTAGTGCTCTGTAATTTACGCCTTTACTTTAAATGGCCCTTAACTTCAAATCTTTTTTGGGTTTTCATACCTGCTTTTTATAAACTCCTGGGATCTCTCTACACAGACTACCAGCTGTCATTCCCTTCTAAGTCTACTTGCCCCAATGTTTTTTAGGATTAAAAACGATCTTAATTTTAGTGCATGTACCTGAATAAAATTTCAAGCAATCCGTATGGATAGAAAATAAAAAGTAGAAGTGTGCCTCCCTGCCATTCACACCAATCCTGCTTCTCAGAGGTAACAGCCACTTTTTATTCTTTAGGTAGCTACTATCTCTACCACTTGATCTAGGTTTACTGTGCCTGTTTCTCGATTTGTCATTTAAGTAGTATCTGTTGATTGTTCATTATGAATATTAAGGAATGTCCATTCCTCCTCCCCATTTTATATTCTTTTGGTTTCCTTTATAACTAGTAATCTTTATTTCTTGATCCATCTGTATTAAACAATGTCTCTTGGCTTGCTACCATTGTGGAAATGACCAACCCTATACTTTCCTTTCAGCTCACTACTGCCTTTTACCTCCTAACTTCTCTAAGTTACACAATTAGTTTATTAATCAGCATTAATAGATGTATATTATTTGGGGGAACTATATTTGACTTAGGTTTTTCCTTTATATGTTTCTAAAAACAACAAGTCAGTAACTAGCCATTATGTGCTGGATTATGCAAAAGCATTTACTAGTAAGTCAGGTGATTTTGTCTCCTACATATCCAATCTCATGTCCTCAGATCTATGCTGACATATGCAGAATATTCCAAGCTAAAGGTCAAATGAGTTATTTTATCTGCTAGCCATCAACTCCTCCAAATCATGCTGTGTATTATTTGCTTCAGAATTGGGTCATGCCTTGGGGCACCTGGGTGGCTCAGTTGGTTGAGCACCTGACTCTTGATTTCGGCTCAGATCATGATCTCACGGTTTCTTGAGTTC